TAAATTGTTTACAAGTAAAAATGTGTTTTAATTAATTATTGATAATATTGAGGGGAGGAGACGTCTATATAAGATTTCATTTTAAAAGATCTTCTTTTACATATTTCCCTTTCTCCATATTTGGAAAACAAACAATTCATGTATTTTTCTGGTTTTACAATCAGTTTGCTGTTTAATTTTAATGTTTTTCTAAACTTTAAAAGGTAAATTTCAGTTTCGGAAAACAATATAATAAAAAACAAAAAGAATATTAAATAAATTATAAGTTTATTAGATTACAATTATATATACATATAAATCTATAAATTATAAATTTATTTTAAATAGATACTACTGTTAACTTCATCGATTATTTATTTTGAACATTACATTAAAGTGACAAAAAGGATTGTCGTGAGAAGATTAATTACCAATCGTGTCTAATAAAAGATAAAATTACAAAAAAAAAGGAAAATGAAAAATTTTAACTAAAAATATATCAGTGGTGTAAAAAGTGTGCCAGGTGTGTCTTTGAAAGGTACATGGTGAGGAAAATGAACCTTTTAAACCTATTACGTTTAGTTTTAGTTTGTTTCAAAATTCGATTTTTATTTTTTTTATAAATTAAAAAAATCACAAGCTGATCAATTTTAAATCACTTGTCACGTGACATGTGATGTACATCATTTCAGGTTTCATCACTGGTCACATCATTTCAGGTTTACAAACTTCGTATTTTAACTGTAAAATCTTTAAATGTTTTAAAGTACACTTGCTACTTTTTAAATAAAAATTAAATATATAGAGTATACAGAGGCATATTTCTTCGGATATATATTATTATGCTATTTATTTTTGACAGCCTTTACATACTGTCAAATTTTAGCTTTGTGACTTTTTTGATTGTGACAACATAATAGTTTTTCTTATTTAATTTTAGCAATAGTTACTTAGCCTGTTGCTGACAGTCATGCAACATAAACATCAAAAATGCAAAAGACAAAAACATACCAATTTACTATTTGTTGTTTACTAAATAATAATTTTAAAATAAATGTTTTATTAGAGGCGCTCTTGGTAACTGCCCATTCCAACCTATTGTTACGCTACTGAAAATATACTCCATTATCTGCGTTTAAATACGACACTTCTTATTGTTGTTTTATTAAAACAACCTTCCATTGTTTTAATAAACAGCTTTCTATACTCTAAAAATGAGTTGAAACCAGTTTTAACTTTAGCGGTAATGATTAAATATAAAAACATTAAATTTCAAAAAAATGTTGACTCAATTTCTAAGAAATGTTGAATTTCTAAAAAATTTTTTGCCTAAGTTCAGCTTGAATATAAAAAAAAAAAACAAATACATAATTAGTTAATACATATAAATAACTAATGATTAAATACATAACTATTTTTGCATAAATGCGTAACTATTTTTGCCTTAAATACTTTATGAAGCATATGCTATCACAGATCAAAAATTTCTGTATTCCTTTTTTATCAATGATTGTGCTGAGGAAAAATAAAACTTTTGTTTTTTTTATTAAATATTCTTTTATTAAAAGACAGACAAAGAGTCAAACAATGCAATTCCCAAAATATCTAAGTTATATTTTAATACCAGTGGCGAAGAAATCAGATAAAGTCATTTTAAAGTAGATTTTCAGTAAACTTTTATAAGTTATATATTGTCAAGGAAAAAAAAAAAAGTGTAAAAACATTTTTTTTAATACTATTTTGCCCCTATAGTCCCCGTGTAGATCCGGTGGTCAAAACCCATAAGGTAGCCGTTGGACATCCCAGATAAATGCCGTTTGGGTGAATACCACCTAGGCAAAACACATCTAGTTTAAATTTGGTGCTAGAATATATGTGTATTTGCGCATGCGTATTATAATACAAAATACTAACTACTTTATAAAAATTTATTATTTTACATAACAAACTTGATTCTTGAAATTTTTAAGATAATCATTATCAACCGGTTTCCGATACCCGGGATCATTTGATAATTGATTTCCGGATACCGGTAGAAATCAATTATATGACATCAGTGAATATTGAGGATATTGATCTGCAACTTTTGTGAAAATGTTTTTTGATAATATTTTTTTATTTTTTATGATGATATATACTTTTTTGGAAAACTACATTTTTGTTTTTTTTTTGACTGTTTAAAGATATTCTTCTTGATTTGTAAAAATAGTTTCCTTCGAAACAATATTTTTTATTTTTCAGATATATCATTATTAATGCTTATAATAAAATAAAACAGTTAAAAGTTTTTAAAAAGTTTCTTATAAAACTTTGAAAAAGTTATACTTTTTAAACGAGTTAAAAAAATTATAACATTTTAAAAAGTTACACATAATTGTAACTTTTTAACAATTTATAACTTTTTGGTGTATAAACTTTATTTCAATTAAAAATGGTGATTGCAGTTATGTTGGTTACAAAAAAAAAAAAAAAAAAATTATTAAAATGATAGAGGTTAAAAAATTCCATGGTGATTACAATCATGATGTTTTCAAAACCGTGGTTATTACAATTTGAGAAAAATAAGATTGGTATCATCATTTGAAAGAGTTTTTTTTTTTAAATATTTGTACAATATTAACTTGATAATCATTTTTCGGTTAAAATTTTTATAAAAAATCGATTGGATATTATAAGGTAATCGTCGGATATTATAAGGTAATCATTGGATATTATAAGGTAATCGTCATTGGATATAAGGTAATCGTCGACAAAAAGTTCTAGTGTTTCTAGCAGCTGTACATTCGTTTTGCATGAACTTTGGTATAAATGCAATTATATATATATATATATATATATATATATATATATATATATATATATATATATATATATATATATATATATATATATATATATAGAATGTAAACAAATAATAATTTTTAAATCCATAATGGTAGCTACTATAATTCCCATATTATTGTGTAATTGAAAAAGAGATAAAATTCAACAAAAACCATCCCATAATTCCTAAAATTACTTCAAAAATTGATTAAACTCACATACTAACTTATATACAGATGAACAAACCCTTAAGATATCATTCTAAATGCGTAATTGAAGTTGTGTATTTAAAGTAATCGCAAACAGAGAAAACTAACTAAATAGTTTAAGTAGTTTTTTCAGCTGTTAATATTGAAGTTACGTATATTTTACAGCTCAGTTTACAATATATAAAAGCTTAAGGTTTCTGCTTTCTTAAGAAAAATTTTATTATGATGCTTAGTGAATAACTTTGTCCTAAAACAACCAGAAAGCATTGCTGCTAAGAGCGTTGTTAAGAGGAAAATTTTATATATGTTTTTAAAGGTTAATTTAAAAAACTTATATAAAAAATGTGTAAAAGTATATATTTTCTAAAATAGCGCAATTTTCTCTTTTAATAACAAAAACTTAATTTCATTTTTCTGAAAATCAGAATTTTTCGCTCGACATAAACAATTAATAAATTATTACTTTCCCAAAAATGAGGGGGTTGTTTTTATTTTTATACGGGGACACGGAGTTTCTAGGGTAAATGTTACTTTTGATAAATTCTAAATTTATTTAAAAATTTAAATAATAAATTATAGTAACTTTTTTGTAACTATATTTATTATTTAAATTTTTATATTTAGCCACTGAATATTCCCATATTTCGATTACTTTAAAAAATTTTTTTTACCTACCTTTCTACCCCTAATATTTTCACTTAGCATTATAGCTACATATAGTATAAACATACAAATGTTTAGAGTTTACACTATAGCTAGAAGTTGACTAGCTTAAATTCAAAAAAGAGATTTTATGTAAAAAAAAAAAAAGAAAAAAAAAAAGGGGAAAAATAATACTCAATATATATATATATATATATATATATATATATATATATATATATATATATATATATATATATATATATATATATATATATATATATATATATATATATATATATATATTGAGCAGCCGTGACGCAGTGGTTAGAGTTCTGGCTCAGAACCCAGAGGTCTGAGGTTCGACGCCAGCTCTAGCCCAACTAGCGACATTGGTACGGAAAGAGGCGTGAACTTCCTGTTAAATGCTCTCCCGCGGTGCTCTATGATAAGACCGTAAGGACTTCTGGGAGCACCTAAATACATACAAAAAAAAATACAAGCCACAAAATAACGACGTTCGAAAGTGTTTTTTTCAAAATTGTTGACGACGTAAGTTTTTGTAAATGTTGCGAAAATAAAAGTTGTTAAAAATATTTCTAAAATAAAATAATAATGTCCAGAATTTAAAGTGGGTTGCAGAAAAAAGTCAACTGACTCCACCATTATGCATTTTTCTTTTCTAGAAAAACTCATCATACTTACAACAAATGTGTGTAGAGACTGTTCTAAATGTCTGAGACTCTGCCCCCTCTCCCTAAGTAAGTACAATTATTTAATTCATTTTACTTAAGAGATTAGCTGTTAAACGATAACATTTGTATTTTAGAAAAAAAAACTTAATCCGAGTTAACTATTGTCACAATTAATATATATGCTTTTAAAAGCGTTGATAGTACGAGCTATTGAAAAAATGTAAGTAATTAACCATTAAAACGAACTAAAAGCAAAAATTCTTGTGTACAAAAGAAATTTCTGTTTGGAATTAATTGAAATTGTTTGAAAAAACAAAAGAATATTTTGACGTTACAACTTTGCAGTCCGCAGATGTTTATCGCTTATTAAATATGCATGTTTGAAGGATTTAAACCAGCAATTATCAAATATCATCTTTAAGAATACTTGTTATATTTTCTATTCATTTTTTTTTCAATTTCAATTGGTTTTGAGGCAATATTGAAAAATAAAATTTTCTTATTCCTTTTAAGGTTACTTTATATTCTTCACCAAACTTCTCATTCAAACTTTTATATGTAAGTTTTAAGAGTTTGTCAAAAATAATTCTTTTAAAACTTTCAAAATCAATAAAATAAAAACAATATATTACTATAAGATTGTATTGTATAAGTGATTTAGAACAACTTTTTTAGAAAATAAATCAGTCAAAACCTTTTTCATTTTAAAAAATTAATAATGAATTCTGACAAAACTCTACGTCAAAAATAAAGCCAAAGTAACGTCGTGTAAACGGAACTATATCTTTTGTGCGATTCACAAAACAGATCATAATCGGAAAGCTATTTTATACTGCAATGAATATTGAGCTACGGCTGTGATCTTTTTTTTTTGCACTTTGTTTACAATTTTTGATTACTTTCTTTGATTGCAGAGCGTGTGGTTTTTATTTTTAAAATGGATAAATACGATGATAATGAAGTCAATAATTTTAATGGAAGTGAGGAATGTTTGGAAGAATTCGGATTAAGTTTTAATGAAGACGACGATGAAGACGATGACGATGATCTTTCAGAAGAGAGAGTGGAAGCGTGGCTTGATGCTAACGAAGATTTTGCTGCCTCTTATTTTTCTAGAAAAGCTCAAAAATTAATGCTAGATAAATTTATGCCTAGAAGCAGTAGGCAATCTACACAAAGTAGGACATCTTCTCCTTTACCTGGGTCATTTTTGATGCAAAATGCTACTTCATCAACTAATTTAGCTTCAGGAACTATCACTCCTGCTCGAAAAATTTCATCTGTAGATTTTGAAAAAGGTTTTTTAAAGCCCATACTAAGTCATGTTGATGGAGTTCCTAGATTTATAAGTCTTGAAAGATCTATATCCCGGCCTTTACGCCAGCGGAAATCTAAAGAGGAACTTAAAGAACTAAAAATATTAGATGAACAAGCTTTACTTATGGAGCTTGTTAAAGACATTGCTAATGATTTAGAAATTAATAGCCTATGTCATAAAATTTTACAAAATGTCAGCATACTTACTGATGGAGATAGATGTTCCATTTTTCTTGTTCAAGACTATGGTCATGGACCAAAACTACTAGTTTCTCAAGTTTATGATGTAAATGCTGATTCTTGCGTTGAAGAAATAAAAGCAAAAAAAGAAATAATTGTTCCATGGGGTACAGGTATTGTTGGTCATGTAGCAAAGTATGGAGAAACACTTAACATTCCAGATGCATATGCTGTAAGTATGATTCAAATTTTTTAATGTTATAATGTTGAATACTTTATAATTTTACTATATTATAAATACTACTTTAAATTAATTAATTAATTAATAATTTAACCAGTTTAAACTTCTGATTTGTTCTTCTAAAATACTAAATAAAATTTTTCAAATATGGGTAGATAACTTTATATTTAATAGTAGTTGTTGAATTTATATTTTAATCTAAAGTTACATTTTTTAATCTACAGGCAAATCTGCAATTCAATGACATAAAATAAAATTTTTTGTTTTCTAAAAAATGGAGAAGACTGTAATAATATATATTAATAAAATGATAATAATAAATGATAATAATTACTTATAATGATAATTAGTATATTTGTAATAGTAATTATTATTATTCATAAAAAAAGTTTTTTAAAATAATAATTTTGATGTTTACAATAAATATTTTAAGATATTTTAAAGTCTCTATGAATAACATTGCGAAAATATAATTATTTTAGACCGTCTTTGTAACTGATTTACAAAGTAAATCAGTTACAAAGTTCTGGGTGACTGGTACTGAAAGAGATAAAAGCTTATTATTTCAGTCTAGATCATAAATCAAAAGTCTCTATTTAAAATAAACAATTCTTGAACTATTTTATATTTCATAAATAATTCTAGACTAAATAAAGTTTACATAATATGTGTAAAAAAATTTAAGTGTCTAAAGTTCTCATAAGTATAAAAATTTGTTTTTTTCGTGTATAAGAAGAAACAAAAAACCGTTTAAAAATGTAATAATGTAAATTGCACTTAGTCATCAAAAAAAAAAAAAAAAAAAAGAATAAAAGAAAAATCTGACAACAATTGTCTAATCTTGTATCATATTTTAAAAGTAGTAATTTAGTTTTATGCCTACATTTAGAAACTAATCCATTTCTTTTAGTTGATAACTTCTCATTGTTGTAAGATGTTATGTATTATTATATATTTTTCATATAAGCGTAGATTGTTGTTTTATTTTGAGATTGTAAGATTTTTAATTTTCCATTCAATGAATGGGTTTTTAACCTCCATATTTCCTTAGACTTCCCTAGCTCAGTATCATATATTTTTTGGTATTACAATATTTCGTATGGTTAGCGTATCCAAGTTTAAATGGTATTTCACTGACTCTATAATGCACTTCATTCCTGTTTGGAGTGTCTGACTTTAAATGATGTCAATGATGTAATAAGCTTAGTTGAGTTACTTTAACATACATTAAGCTTTTGCGTTATTCTACAAAATCTCATAACAAGACTTGGTGGCAGCAATTAACTTCTTAGATAAAGTACAAGATTTAGTAAAGTGAGTGTGTTGAAGCTTGGTATCAGAACTCCACACCTTTTTACATTGGTTTCTTACAATAATAAAAAAATTGTTTGTTCTCAAAAGAGTTGCTCTTGTAAAAAAATTATTCTGATATATGTAGTCTGATTATTATGATCTGTGTTTGTGACCAATTTCTATTTTATCAGTTAAAATTATTAAAAAAGAATTTTAAATTTTAAATTTAAAACAGATATTGTTTAAAAATTATTTTTGTCTTGATTTTTGTAATTTTTTGAAAAAACCCAAGTATTAGTATAGCTTAAGCTATTTCATGATAATAAAGTTGAGGGCTTGATAAAAGTCATAAAAACAGAAACACAAGCAAAACCCATGAAACGAGTCAAGAAGATCCTGCGTTCAACATCCTAAACTGGAAACAATGTATTAAAAATACATCTGCGCCAGCCTAATAGATGACAAAGGGGTACGAGGCTGGTCAACAGATAGAATCTGTTTACCCCTTAAGTCTTTGCCTAGGAGGCCTTCTACAAGACAGCAGCCGGATGCATGTAACATCTGCCCAAGATAAGTATTTTTATCGAGACACCATCTCTAGCCTTTACTCAACCAAGAGCCCCAAGGCAGGGGGAAAATTGATAATGTCAAAATATAAAGAGTAGGTCATAATAGGTGTTTTTACATTATTGGTTAAATTATTTTTTTTTTAGATTTTTTTTTTTTTTTTTGATAATAAAGTAAAAAAAAAAAAAATATTTAATTTCAAAAAAAAAAAAAAAGTCATACAAATACCAACATTTTTTAGACTTTTTTCTTCACAAATTATTTCTTCATCTCATATTAATTATTATTATTGTTGTTGTTGTTGTTGTTGTTATTATTATTATTATATTAGATTTGCTGTAACTGGTGAAAATACTATGACGCCCATTTTATCCAACTCACAAATTAATTAACTGTCTGATTTTTTTAATTTAAATTTATTATTCAGTTGAATTCAACTTTATTATTACATTCATAGTTTGTTCCAATCATTTGCTATTATATCAGTCAGGTCAGGTTTATCCTGCTACTGGTAACATGTAACCCAGTACAATCTGCTTCATGTCCTGCTGCCTTGTAGGATATGCCTTTTTAGGCAAAGGCTAGGAGATGCAAACTCTGACATAAAACACCCCCTGCCTTGGGGCTCTTGGTTGAGTAAAGGCTAGAGATGGTGTCTCGATAAAAATACTCATCTTGGGCAGATGTTACATGCATCCGGCTGCTGTCTTGTAGAAGGCCTCCTAGGCAAAGACTTAAGGGGTAAACAGATTCTATCTGTTGACCAGCCTCGCACCCCTTTGTCATCTATTAGGCTGGCGCAGATGTATTTTTAATACATTGTTTCCAGTTTAGGATGTTGAATGCTGGATCTTTTTGACTCGTTTCATGGGTTTTGCTTGTGTCTCTGTTTTTATGACTAGGCAACTCATTCCATTATCTCCAAATGAGGATACAGCTCTAAAACTCAATTTTATGGTTCTGAGGCCGGCTGGTAGTCAGGTTTCCCGAACTCTGTGGTAGCTCTCAGAGAGGCTGATTCCATCAACAGCTGAAAAATATCAGAGTACTAACAGTGCCATGTTGCGCATGGATGGTGTCCCTGTTTGTACTTTTGGTGTGCATTGCCAAGGCCGCATTGGAGCCCTTTGTTACGGCTTAGGGTTTATTAGTGGAAATGAGGCAATTGCTTGAGCTATAGAACAGTGTACTGAGTACTATCAATGTTTCGAGTCAAGTTCTTTAACAAATTTAAAAATGAATAAAGTAACAAAAACTATAAAACACAAAAAACCACAGTCATCACCAAGTTCGCTAAACTTATCATTCACCAATATTCGTGGTCTTCGAAGTAACTTTTCTTCTGTTGAGTCTTATCTCTTGCAAAGTTCACCAGACCTGCTTGCTATTTGTGAGACTAATTTGAGTTCAGCTGTCTCATCTTGTGATCTTAGTGTTGATGGTTATCTTCCTTTAATTCGTAAAGACTCCAATAGCCACATGCTTGGCCTGGGCATTTACATTCGTAAGAATTCACCCATTTGTCGGGAAACTAGTTTTGAATCCACAGACTACTTTTTTATGTGCTTTCGTTTAGCACCACTTCACTCTATCATCTTTCTCTTTGTTCTATATCGCTCTCCCTCATCCCAAGACTGCACTCTTCTTGATGTTATTTCTGATTATATTGACCAAGCCCTCATTCTTTATCCATCAGCCAGTATTGTTGTTGTCGGTGACTTTAATGTTCATCACACTGAATGGCTTGGCTCTAGTGTCAGTGACTCTGCAGGCATTAAGACCCACAACTTTTGTCTTTCTCAATCCCTAACTCAAATAGTCAACTTTCCAACTTGCTTTCCAGACAACCCAAATCATTTACCTTCTCTACTCGACTTATGTCTTGTTTCTGATCCTAGTCAGTGTTCAGTTTCTTCACACTCACCCTTAGGTGCGTCTGATCATGGTTTGGTCTCTCTAAAACTATTATCTCATTCTTCTTTACCATTAGAATCCCCCTATCATCGTACATCTTACAACTACCTTAAAGCTGACTGGGACTCTTTTCGTGACTTTCTTTGTGATGGCCCCTGGGTAGAAATCTTTCGTCTCCCTGTTGACAAATGTGCTTCTTACATAACTTCGTGGATTCAGGCTGGCATGGAATCCTTTATTCCCTCTCGACGATTCCAGGTCAAGCCTCACTCTTCTCCATGGTTTTCCTCACATTGTGCTGCTGCAATTGCCAATCGAAACCATTACTTTCATATCTATCAGCAAAACAATTCTCCAGAAAACAGACTGTTTATTACTGCTAGGAACCATTGTAAAAAGGTTTTGTCTAACGCCAAAACCCGCTATTCTCAGATCATGAAATCTCGCATTTCATCACAAAAATTAGGCTCTCGTGACTTCTGGAGAATCTTTAATAGTATCAATAATAAGGGCAAGTCTGTAATTCCACCTCTTTTGTACGGTTCAGACTTTGTCACCTCACCTAAAGACAAAGCTGAATTGTTTGCCAAGAACTTTTCATCAATATCATCTCTTGATGCCACTAGTTGCGTTCTACCTGATACAGCCGTCAAACAGGTTGGTCCATTGCTCGACATTTGTATCACTCCAGCTTCTGTATCTAAAGTGATTTCCCGCTTAGACTCTTCTACAGCTTGCGGCCCGGACAACATACCCGTTATAGTCTTGCAGAAGTGTTCTCCTGAGCTGTCGTCTATCTTTTCAAAACTATTCAACAAGTGCTTATCAGAGTCTTGTTTTCCAGCCTGCTGGAAAGCAGCATCTGTTATCCCTATTTTTAAAAATTCTGGAGAGCGGTCTGACTCATCTAACTACCGTCCCATTAGTCTTCTTCCTATCATAAGCAAGGTTTTTGAATCTTTAATTAACAAACACTTAATCTCTCATCTCGAATCTCATAACCTACTTTCTGATCATCAGTATGGATTTCGATCTTCTCGTTCTATGGCTGATTTGCTATCAGTAATAACCAATAGGTTTTATCGCCCATTAGATAAAGGTGGAGAGGTTAAGGCCATTGCTCTTGACATTTCTAAAGCGTTTGATAAAGTTTGGCATGCTGGTCTCCTCCATAAGCTTTCTTCTTATGGTGTATCTGGAAACATCTTTAAGATTAT